CTCTAGAAAATAGGTGGCGTCACACTAGTCACGTGACCTCGATGACGCAACAGTGGTATGAAATACCAGTAAAAATATGAAAAAACATCCTATATCTACAACTTTTTGGTTTTGTACGAATAAATACGTTTGTATATAATGTCTCTACAACTATAGCATATATTTCGCATCAGGCCAAACACCAATTCATCCCCAACCCCTCCACATATGTGCATGCTAGCACCTTTTCCAAACTACTTTAAACTTTGATGATAATCATAAAACAAATGAACTAAACTACACCTTAATAACACGAAAATAATGGGTGAATAATATAATATTACGTCTCATCAGTGGAAGGGTTAAACAAAGACTGATATTTCAGTATCAAGAAATTCATCAAATTATGTAATATTGAAAATGTGATGACTGAAGAGGCCACAGAGAACAATAACAATTGATAACACTAAACCTTTAATAAACACTTTAATAATCACCCAACAGATAGATCCATTGTCTAGAAATATTGATATACATGACCGTGAATAATTTGAAATGCATTTCTATAATTAATTTGTTACAAATTCATCTTTTTTTGTTTTTAGATTTTTATTTCTTGTCACTTAGTCTGATGTTTACTTTCTTTAATGTCTGACACACACACGTGTATAGTTTCTTTAACCTCTACATATTGAAACTTAAGGAGTTAGGTCCTTGATTTTTTTCTTTTTATGAGAAAATACATTGAATGTATCTGGTGAGAACAATGTTAAACTTCATGATCTGAAAAAATAATTATAAGATCATTTTATTTCATATTTATATGTCAAATTTATAAAAAGTTAATTAATGTCAAAATGAAGAAAATACAATACAAAGTCTAAACTTACAAAACATTTTCACTTTCCTGGTCGCCAGGGGAAGTTTGAAACTAATAGTTTTAGTGTGAGCTTTGTGAAAGTTAAAAAGCTAGATTATAAAATCACTCCTTCTACACATGCACACACACATATATATATATATATATATGGAAAAAAGGTTGAGAAGAATTGTTCTTGCATTTTTGGAAAAATTTATATTATGGTCCAAGATTGGTACTTCAGAGTATTATATATATGTATGTCCAGCAAACAAGGAATGAGATATAGAAAAAACTACATGACATAACAAAAAATAATAAAATATAGGTTCAGTAAAGAGTCGAGAATAGAAAAACGTAAAACTATACATCATAATGAAATGCTTAAAATAGGTTGATAAGTAGTCCAGGACACAAACAGGAGGTGTAAAAACTACACAGCATAAGGAGTAGCTTAAGAAAATAGGTAGGTCCAAGAAATAAAGGAGGATGTAAAAATATATTAAAAACTACAAATCACAATCAAAAGCTCATAAAGGTACGTAGGTCCAGGAAACATAAGAGGAGGTATAAAAGCCTACATAGTATAACTAAAGGACAGAAAAAATTCAAATAACAGAGAATATTATACTTGACATAAATTTTACATAAACTGACCTTATGTTGACACTAAAGTCCTCGTGGTTACCCCGGTTAAGGAACACTCTATCAGGCCAGACCAGCAGACAGGCTATCAGGAGCAAGAATACCTCTACAGACTGAACCCCTCGGTCCACAAAATCCCCATTGAAAATGTAGGGGTTGTCGGAAGCTGGGAGACTGTTCTAAAAATACCATTACTCTAGATTTTAAATTGTGACCAAAAGTACCTAAAAAAAATCAATTTTTAAATCACTTTGTATGTAGAGATGACTTCTGTGTCTTTTTATATGTACAATATGATACACGCAAGTCAATAACAGAGAAAGAGCCAGTATCCAATGAAAATTCTTTAATTTCTCGACATTTTACCTTATGGCTCTATCAAGAGGTAGACACCCTACAGAACACAATCGCATACTTAACAGAACAAAACAACTAATGTAATGTAAAATAACAAAAACGCTTTCTCATGTATCATCTGGTATGTTATCAACTATGAAAAGGTAACAGTAATAAATGTACAAGTAAAGAAAAAAAATCAAAATATATTCTTTTTTTAATGTAGTGTTTCAATAGACATAGAAAAGTTGTAAGTATAACCACGTTTTAAATATAATGAGGTTTCAACTATAATATTTATTGTTTATCTATTACTGGTTGGTAATTGCTGTTTCATCCTGTACATAAGCTTTTTAAAGTAACACCAATTTCTGTAAGAAAGCTAACTTCAAGAGGTAATGATAACATAATTTATACTAGAATTATGATTTTTTTACAAAATTACCATTAGTTATTAATAATACTTACAAAAGCATATGATACTATGTGACCTCAGTGAAACTGGTTGACACCATTGTTTTAGTTTTTGAGTTATCATGCAATAAAAAATAAACAGCGGAAAGTAGAAAAATAAATTCAAACTTTTTGCTATGATATTTACAAACATTCCCAAAACTTGTGGTTCAGTAATTAAACAAACATTGTTATAAAAGAAAACACTGTATAGTATTGAAGATATATTAAAAATACCACTTCGATGAATTATCCCAGCCATCCCTACACAGGCAGTGCTATGCCTGCCTGATTACAAGAATAAATTCATGGTGAATAAGATATTCATTTAAAAACAAAAATAAAATATGGCTCATGTGAATAGTAAATGTTCTTAAATCCATACATATATATATATGTATATTCAAATTCGATGACGAGGAACCCACTTTGAGACTAATAATGGTTGGAGACGGCTTGAATGGGCAATGAAGAAAACTTTAATATAAGCCTCCAACCATTATATATATATTATTACGACAGCGGAAGTCACGTGACGAGCTTGGCGCTGGTAGCGTACGTATCCGAGTGCATTCGTGACGCCCCCTTTGTTAGTATATAAGCCTGGCAGAGAAGCCAGCGAGATATAGATAATTAAAGCAGCGAACAGCAGTGACGGAACGTAAAGTGTGTGAATCACTGTGAGTTAGAGCGTGTATTATAAAAGTTGTTAAGTTTAAAGTGACCAGAAACCTATAGACTGTGGAATTACTGTGTACTAAGAGTTTGTATCGAGGAAGAATAAACTGGTTTAATCAAGAAAGGACTTGTATCGCTGAAGTACCTCAGAAAGAATTTCTACCGGAAATTATCAAACAAGCAGATATGTAACAAATTGGTGTCAAAGAGTGGGACGGAAAAGAGAGAGAGAGAAAAAAAGAAGTGTCAAGAAAACTTGCAACAGTGGCAGCTCGAACAGCAAAATAAACAAGAGAGACTACAGCAGCTGTTGGAGGAAAAAGAAAAGAAACAAGAAGAGAGATTACAGCAGTTGTTGGAGGAAAAAGAAAAGAAATGAGAAGAGAGACTACGGCAGTGGATGGAGGAGAAAGAAAATAAACAAGAAGAGAAACTACAGCAGTGGTTGGTGGAGAAAGAAAATAAACAAGAAGAAAGTCTGCAACAGTTAAGAGAAAGCCAGCATACACAAATGGAAAATATTAGTAAATTTCAAAGTGAATTAAATACATTAAAGGACGATTTACTGTCTTTTACACAAGGAGGATATATTAGCCATGGACCTAATCAGCCCCAGACAACAGGAAGCCCCTTCCAGACCCTGCAGCTAAACCCTAATACCGACATCTTCAGTCCTGTCAGAAGTCACATTCCAGACATGAGTGTCAGCAATAGGGGTGATCTAGTGCGAAGGAAGCCACAGGAATTCGCTGGGAAGGCACCGTGGGAAGCATATAGAGCACAATTTGAGCTCCTGACAGAAATGAATGGATGGACAGAGGAGCAGAAAACAGTGTACCTCGCAACGAGCCTGTTGGGAC